ACTAGTTTAGCTTGCCAGTTTTCCCCGACCACCACACCCCCAATCCCATGTCTTTGAAGTGCTGGGTTCACAGGTGGCTGCCACCCTGCCCAGCTCTTATGTGGAATCTGAACTTTCATCCTCACGCTTGCATAGCAAGTACTTAATGCACTGAGCCCTTTCTCTAGACCCAGTTCTTGCACTTTAGTTCATCATTATGTCAATGAAAGGAAAACAAACAAAAGCAGGCAACAGCTCCTATACTTATATTAATATAATTCACTAATGGTCCCCAAATACTCTCTTTTGTGTAAAAAGTATGTATCCTCCAATTTATATGTGTCAATGCCCAGCAGTGGTGGCTCACAGCTAGAAGAATGGCTCAGTGAGTTCGATTCCCAGCACCTATGTCCAGTAGCTGGTAGCTACCCAATAATCCAATGTCTCAGGCTTTTCAGAGAACCTGCATGCAGATGCCCATATCCACACATAGACACATGAATGAATATAATTAAATATAAGAAACAAATATCTAAGAAACCATGCATTTACAAAAGTCTACTCATCAAGAATTTTCCCTGGTGGGTACCAAGATAGACAGACTTAGTAGTTTCCATGATTATACAAATCACAGTAGAAACCCCCTCAACAACCTAGTCCCAATGGTTCAACAAAACTCTCAAAGGCCATTTTAGCCTTCTGTGTCATACATACAATGAATCCTTTATTGGTTGTTTATCTTGTTGCTATGACAAAATACCTGACAAAAGCAACTTAATGAAGGCGATGTTTATTTTGGCTCCTAGTCCTGGGAAGGAATATAGCCCATCCTGGCAGGGAAGGCACAGCAGCCGTAGTGGGAGGGGGTATTTCACATCACATCCACAATCAGGAAGCAGAAGGCAATAAATGTTTGTGCTCAGTTTGCTTCCTCTTTTTAACTGAGTCTGGGATCACAGCCCATAGGATGATGCTGCCTATATTTAGGACTTACCCTCCCCAGTTAACCTAAGATAGGTAGGTAATCCCTTTCAGATATACTCAAAGATTTGTTTCCATGGAGATTATAAATCCCATCAACTTGACAGTCAAGATTCATCACCACAACTCCAAAATACTCAGAGGGAATTCCACAGAGCTTCTAAATCAGCACCCTGTCATCTAAACTGCACAAGAGGCTAGACAATCAAACAGAACGGACACAACTTAGCCAACACTAGTCATCAGGACTCCAAACCACAAGGAAGGCAAAACCTGAGTTGCACCAACAGTGAAGAAACATAGCATGGGTCAGACCTTCTCAAGAGTCCCAAGCCAAGTCTAGACACTCATTTCTATGCTTTCCCAAAAAGAGGTGTAAGGGTGTTGATGTCGGCTGAATGGGAGGAAGAAAGAGTCCCTGGAGTGAAGTGACCTCAGCACCTTCGTAAATCCCTTCAGTCTGCTCTCCACCCAGGGTCAATTTATTATAAATAAGCTATTCTTTCTTCTGGACATGGCTTGACAAATAAATAGAATAGAATAGAATAGAATAGAGTAGAGTAGAGTAGAGTAGAGTAGAGTAGAGTAGAGTAGAATAGAATAGAATAGAATAGAATAGAATAGAATAGAATAGAATAGAATAGAATAAAAAAAAATGCTACCAAAACTGTTAGTATCATAGCCTGGGTCCTAACAAGCCTGGATGAGTAAGGCTTAGCCACTTGTGCTCAATACGCCAATTAAACAGACAAGCAATAGTGCAAAGTAGAAAGGGAAGCTGTATTCAGTGTGGCCACACTGGGAAGAGGACTAAGAGATTCTGTGACACCCTCTAAATAACATGATGCTTAGGTTTAAATAAGAAGGCAAAAAGCAAATGTAACTAAGCAATCCTGGTCAACCAAGGTGTCATAGACCCATCATTGACTGGGCTCCAGTTTCCCTGCAAATTGGCTGACAAGGACTCAGAACTGTGAAATTTCTTGTGTGTGTGTGGAGGGGAGGGGGAGAAGACAAGTTCCTCCTCTAGCTGACACCAGGCTTCAGTCTATTCCTTTTCCAAGTATGCAATTCTTAGGGAAATTCCAGGCCTGGAGACTGATTGCCAGGGGGAGGCGCACAGGGTTTGACATTATCTCTGCCCCTGCCAGGATGCTTATAGCCATCACCAGAAACTGACTTCTCTTCATCATCATGGATGGGTTGACTCTTAAGCATCTACTGATGTGTAGAATGCCTTGGATTCTGTAAGGAACACTCACCCAGGCTCCTGTGTAGCTGTCAGTTTTTAAAGTCACACTTTGAAGGTTCATAACTCTTCTCTCTGTCCTTTCCCATGTCCTTACACCTTAATCTCTTCCAACCACGTCCTAATCCTACAAGCTGTGGAGCAGGGAAGGCTGACCAGTGATGTCAACATTTGTCCAAGAATAAATCCTATATGCTGTTTAGGAAGAAAGGCAAAGAAGTCTACTCTCATAGATAACAGTGTTATGGTCTGAAGCAGAATTAAAGAACTGCTCAAGATTTCTTGACCAAATTATCTTTAAAAACACTTTCCCTTTTTTAGTTAACATATTAATTGTGTCTACTTCTAGAGGTCAGTCTGTTATTTCACATATGTATACAACCTGTAGTGATAAGATCAAGGTGCCTGGTATAACAATATTTCCTCAAACATTTATCATTTCCTTCTTAAGGAACATTCAAAATGCCTTCTGCTAGCTCCTTTGAAATACACAGTTCTTTGTCTGTCTTGATTATGCCACTGTACTAGAGAACAATTTGCCTTCTAACCTCTGCTTTCTTGAAGGATCAGTGGCTTTTCATTAGCATCAGAGGGCCTCAGGGCTCATCTCTGAGTCAGGGAAGTGAGACAAATCCTGTCTTTTTATAGGCTCCTGGTAATGAAACAGCAGGCACATGCATCAGTCTTGCCAGGGCCTCAAATCCTGCCACTCACAGACAAAGACTCTTTAACAGGGTGATGTTAGGATCTCCTGTTACTTAATAGCACCAGAAAGGGCACTTTAAATAAAGTACTTTTGACAAAGGTTGGAAATTCACAGAGGTCCCTCTGCCAGGGGTTATTGGTAGAATAAACGCTTGCCCATCTGGTATGAACACTAGTTTGACATCTCAAGGATAAGGAGAAGGGTACCAGGGGACAAGATGGGGAAGGGAAAGAACAGAGGGTCTTCCCTAAGGTCACCCCCCCAAAAAAAAAGTCAAGGAAAGACGGGGGACTCGCAAGTGTCTTGCAGTACCTTTTGAACTATAAATGGCATACATTCTCTGGAAGAAAAGAAATTTTTTAGGAAGAATTGTAGGGGGAATAGGTACATCTTGAGAAATCTAGAAAAGGCTCTTTGCAATAACAAATATATATATTACCATGCCGTCCATTGCTGTAGACATACCAGGGCCTTTCCATTACACTTGGAATAAAACATTTTCAACATAGATTTTTTTTTTTTCCTGAGTCCTCTCGTTTTCATTTTGTAGCTTCCTTTTCTTTGCTATTCCAAAATAGCTGGTCTGTCCTCAATTCTCCCAGCTTACACTGCTCTCTCATCACAGGACCTTCACACAACAAGTTAACTCTGACAAAATTTTTGCCTGCTCAAACCTGTTCTCAACTCAGCAGGCAGTTCCTTGGAGAACTCTTTCCTGGTCTTATTAAAACATTGGTTCCTTTCATATTCTGATGTATCCTTTTAATTTGTATTCTAACGTTGATACTTTTATTTTTTTGTATAATTATTTTCATAACAGAAATTCTCTGTTAAGATCTAATTATTGCTAGAGCTAGAACACTGCCTTTAAGAAAATGGGCAAGTGATAAAATATTCACTGAAGAAATAAAGGAAGAAGGGAAATAAAGCATCGCTGAGAGGGATGGGGAGATGACTCAGTGGTTAAGAGCACTGGGTGCTCTTCTAGAGGACCCAGGTTCAGTTCCCAGCACCCTCATAGCAGCTCACCACTACCTGTAACTCCAGCTCCAGGAGTCCTGATACCTTCGCGCAGACATAAAATAAAAATATAAATAATAAAAAAGAATTGCTGAGAAAGATGAAATGGGGAGAGAATGAATAAATGGATGGATGAATGCTCACTTTTGCCTTATGCCCACATCACTGAAAATAGAGCACCTCAATGTGTAATGGGAACATAATCTACTTGACTTTATTAGATAAATATTTACATATTTTTTGGAAATCATGGGATACCACACAAAAGAGATTGCTCTTTATTCCTCGTTGTCAAAACAACTGGCATGTTCCTTTCCATGTTTTTCTTTGTATATACTGTGCATGTAATGTATTTTATATAGACGTGTAATCATTCTATTGCTACTTTCTCTTGTAAATTACTTTCTCGTGTTGGTGAGAATGCCTCTGAACAACACGCGGTCTTTAAAGGGCTAAATAGATATCTACTGCATAAATGATAGTAATTGAAATATCTTTCCATACATTGTCAGATGGTCAGGCTGGCCAGTTAATCAGTCCATAGCTAATATTTGAGGGGGACACGAGGCTTTGGAGGTAAATCAGGTAATGCAATGGAGCAGGAGGGTTTTGCAGAGAGTAGGGTAGGGGGGAAGTAACTTTTTCTAGGGACCTGGAGAACATTTTCTTGTTGGTGGGTGGTAGGCCTTGGAAGAGTGGTTGTCAAAGTAGGATTCCCGTGGCTCAGGTGTGAGCACTGGCATGCGTGCCTGACCTTCAAACATCAAAGCCACAGGCTAGCAGCCCAGCAGGCTTAGGCTATGACTGGTGTTTCTCCGCCACGCGCCGCCACGTGCCGTCGCAGACCCGCCCCCTGCTGCTCCCGGCCACGCCCCTCACACGCGGCTTTCCCAGTTGCGGCCCGCAGCCCCGCCCTCAGGCGACCTCCGCGAGTGCCGCCTGCTCTCCGATGTAGCCACGCCCCTGGCCACTGGGCCACGCCTTCGTAATCCGGGCCCCCGGGGCGGCTCCGCCCCCAAGCCGCTCACAGGCGCGGGGGCGGGGCCCTGCGCGATGACGTGGGCGGGCGTGCGCGTTGACGACCCGCGTCTCTGTTAGTCAGCGGAGCGGCCGAGGCCGGACGTCGCGGCCGGAACGCGGAGCCGCGAGCAGGGCTGAGTAGCGGCCGCGGCCACCGCGGGACGGCGCCGCTCACCGCTACGGGCTTCCCTGTCGCCGTTGGCTGCGCAGCCGGGTGAGTGCGCGGGCTCCGCGGCCCGGGCGGCCGCCTCCTTTCCCCGGCCGTGACCCCCTCCCGGGAACGCGCGCGGGGCGGGGGCGGCGCGGGAACAATAGCGCGGGCGGCGGGGGCAAGCGGGGGGCGTGGTCCACTCGGCGCGACCTGGCTCCTCCACTCTGGCCGGTTTCCACGCCGCGCGGGGAGGACGGAGCCGGTGGGCGGCAAGTTCGGAGGCTCTCTCGGCGGAGATCGGGCCGGCGCGGCCGAACATACGTCTCCCGCACCCACGGGGAGCGTGTTTTGACTGTGGGCGGTTTCTTTGTGCGGACGTGAGTGCCGCGACGCCGAGAAGGGCCGGGTGGCCGCGAGCGCGCCGGCCTGCGGGCCGCGCCTGCAGAGGGGCGCCTGGCTCTGACCTTTTGACTTTCCCCACCACTGTCTCTTTGTCTTGCGCCTCCTGGGTTCCCAGTCCAGACTGGGTAGAACCAAGTCCATTTTAAAGTACCGTAAGGAACATCTTGCGTTTCCATTCCCGAAAGTTCCCCACGCCACCGGGGATTTAATAACATGTTGACTGCACAGTGTCCAGTAGCTGCTATTTTTACTTCTGAAATGGAAGTGGTCTTTCTAGTAAGATTCTGGTCTGTCAGCCTATTGTGTTTTGAGATCAGCATCCACCAAGTACCTTTTGATCAGTTAGGACATCTGTTTATTTCATTCATTCATTCGGCAACTGTTAGTACTGTATCCAGATGGAGAGGATGTGAAGGCCAAGTGAAAGACCCTTAAGAATAGGGTACTTTGGAATAGAACAGATGTGCCTTTAAATGACACGGTTATATAAGGGATGTATGTTAAATATGGTATTTGCCTCGTTTTATTGGAACTTCTAAAGGTAATGTGTTAGGAAGAAGAGCTAGATTTGCTTAAATATGCCATCTTTATTCTTAAATCTTACCACCACCACCCCAATTTTCTTGTCGTACTCTGAGTGAACATGTTTACTGCTGTGTCTGATGAAAAGCAAGCACTCAAAATGGTAGTTGGAGGCCTTTCTTGCATCATTTCTCTAGCGCCTAGCATGGTAGTCATACACATTGAGTTGATTTAAAAAAAAAAAAAAAAACTTTTATAGAGGAAAATTGAAAGCTTTAAATTCCCCCTTAAGTTTTAGGAATGCCATACATCACAGTTGGCTAGATCATAAATTAATAGAGGATACTACCTGTTGAGAAAACAGAGGGTTTGGAAATCACTGTTTTTGTTTTTATACCTCACTTCTAGGGCATTTACTATTTTAAAACCACCCCTGATTTTTTTTTAACATATAATTAATAAAGTAGAAACTTGGGGGTGATGGCGGAAGGTTGTCTGTGAGTACATGTTTAAAACTTGAGCATCCATAACTTGAAAGTCAGAGATGCTCCAAAATCTGAAACACTTAAGTCCTTTGTAGATAAGGGGCATTCACTTGGTACTTTGCCATCAAGTTGGGTAATTTGTTCACTTCTAATATTTTAGATAAGTGCTTTTTGCAACCATATGTATGAATACACCCAGACATAACAGTAGTGTTTCATTAGGAATCTAACATGATTTCATTTTTCTCCTCTAAAAGAATTAATGTCGAGGGTGTTTTTGAAGGGAGGGGGTACATACCACTGTGTGCATGTGAAAGCCAGAGGACAACTTTGTGGGGTTGATTCTCTTCTTTTACCTTTATGTTGTTTCTAGACATCAAACCCAGGTTCCCAGACTTTTAGGGAATGTATCTTTACCGACTGAACCATATTTATCTTTTTCTAGCTATTATTTCACATGTTTTTTTATTATTTCTTTGAGTAGAAAAATACAACACACACATGTCTTTTACAAATATTTTATTTTTAATAGTTTAGAGCTGGTTAATGTTTTAGAATTGCTTATTGGAAAGGTCAGGTTTTAACTTGTACTTACCCAAATCACAAAGCATATGGGTTTAAAACTCAAAATATTATGAATTTATTCAAGTTTTGGCAATTTCCACTATTTAAGAAATATTTCTTTTCGATATGAAAAGTAGTTCAGATGAACTTACTGTGGAATAGGGATGAAAAATAAGAAAATTATTTTATTACTGTGAGCGATAGAACTTGAGGCACCAAACTTTTATTGCTTTGCCTAGCTAAGTATATGAGGTTCCAGAAGGGATTCCTGAATTAAATCATTTGAGTGGCTCACACACAGACAGACTGCATACATTCAGTTAGGTTGTTTTCTAAATTCTGATGTTTAAACAGCTTTCTTGAGATTTAATTCACATAAAGAGTGGCCCATATATTTTTTACTGGTTTTTAGTCTGTTTACATAATTATGCATTGATTACTACTATACCATTCTGGAGCATCATTGTGCCACAAAGAAAACCCCCTTTTTAAAAAAGCAGTCTGGTGTTTGAAAGGGAGAGAGTATGGGTTCTGTTAATAAATATGTCCCCTTAATGAAAAGGGTATCCTTTAACTGTCTTGGTATATTAGGAAATTGTATATTTCATGTTCCTTTAATCCTGAGAGAAATTACTTGGAAAGGAAATTAGTATAAGAATTAATTGAGCCATATGTGTACATTCCTGTAATCCCAGGGCTTTAGAGGCCAAGGCAAGATGAGTTTGAGGCCAGCATGGGCTATGCAAGCTAAAGAATAAATTGTTACCAAATGAATGTAATTAGAATTCCATGAATGAAATTATGGAAATGGTCTGGAGAATATACTAGATGGCCAGTGAAACAGTAATTTGTTATTGACAACTAGCCATAAACCATCCTAGTGGTAATTGAGGGGTTGCTAAATAGGAGCCAGCTTCTTGTTGCCTTGCTTTGGCTGTCAAGTGACAGATTTGAGTCATCTCCATACTCGAGATGCTTTGCTGCAGGTGTAGAAGTATAATGTCTGATTAAGATGCCAGTTCTCTAGAAGACTGATAGAGTCAGTAATATGGACCTTTCTGATTCATGTAGGGCAAGGGAGTCACAACCCTGGAGCTTTACATATGAATCACTTGCCTGTTTGAACTGTGATGCTTGTCTCAGACCCAGTCACTACCTGAATGAGGCTCTCCTGACCTTTGGTTTTAGAAGAGTCGGAATTTACTAAAATGTGACAGGAGTACTGAAGTGAGTTTACTCTGTCATTCAGAGCAGTAGATGGGAATAAAACAGTCCAAGAATCATACCCATGTTCCCTTGGTACTTTGTCATCAGCAAGTATGGAGCCTGCTGCAGGTTGTTCATTGGAGTCCTTCAGTGACTGGAAAACTCCAGGCAAGAAAAGTAAGAATCACAGAAACTTGTTAGTTTATTTCCAGTATCAGACTTATACAACCGTTTTTGCCATAAGCCAGGTTTTCTTTGAATGGCAAATTCTATTTGTTTCACAGCACCATACCTTTTGATGAAATATTCCCCAAGACTGGAAGATGTGAAAATGGAGAGTTCATTAACCCCCAAGAAGCTTATGGTCAAAAGATGACACTTGAGGAATGACACAGTGAAAAGGATGTGTGAAAAGCCTCCCCCTACCAAAGCCTGCTGCAAATCTCTGAACAGGCTGCATTTCACTAAAATTTAGCTTTCAGAATTTGTGTGTGAGAGAGCTTTGAGAAATTTGTACCTTTATGTTGTGAGTTATATATGAAATAGAGCAGATACCTGTGTTTCCTATTGTACATTCAGAGATTTTCAGATTTGGTTAAAATTTTTCAATTCTTTAAAAAGTTTAGGAATCAAAACTTAGGAAATGGCCAGCATGACTTAGGGCCGTCTCTGATTCCTACTCCATATTCCAAATGTAACTAATTTTGTGCATAGCTAGTTCAGGTTGTAGAGCATATCTGAGCCTGCTTTATCATTAGCATTAGATGAAAAGAATAATATCACACATTTCATAGGGTCCTGAGGTTTAAACTAGGCTGTGCATAGACTGCTTTGGTTGTTGGGTGGTAGATAAAGCATCCAGGAAGTTTTAGAGTTTTCACTTTTTTTTTTAACTTTGAATGTGTGCAAATGTCAAGTAAACTTAAAATAATTTTGAGTAGAATGCATATTCAGATTCTCCAGATATACTGGTTATTCTGTCTACATCTCTAGTGGATTTGTTAAAGTTTAAAAATCTCCAACTAATCTGAATTGACTGAGATTATTTGTGTTAACATTTGGACCAGTAATCCTCTCTGCCTTAAAATTTGGAAACATTCCAAAAACAAATAATACTATCTGGAACAATGCCATGTTGGCTTTTTTTTTTTTTTTTTTTTTTTTTTAAGCTGTTTCCTACAACAGAGTATTCCGTATGCTTAGATATTTTGGCAAATATCTGTAAAATAGGAACCTAGGAGCTGGAAATAATTCTAATCATGTAACACATTTTGAAGAAAATGGAATGCTTTCTCATCTTTTATGTTTAATCTTACTGAGGCCATTGTAACCACAGCAGTTCATTGGAGTTATTAGTTTTCTGTACAGTTTTTAGGATTACAATAAATGGTATGTCATATTTCTTGTTCCCTTCTTACGGATAGTGACTATGAACACACTGATGTTACACAAGCCAGATAATTTATTGAGAACCCACTTTATGCCACTTTAGGAGCCTGACGTGTACTGAAGTAAAATCGATCTCCCTTCTGTGGTCTGAATATAACTTCATAGGGGATAAGGACAAGCATGTGTGTTCTAACACACTGAAGCAATGATGTTGGCCATTTCACTGAGAATTTCTTTAGCCTTTGAGACACTTGAAAAAGTCCCAACCTTAACATGGTTTAGCCCACCTTTGAATGATATTGCTGGCTTAATAAAGTGCAGAATGCAAAGTATCTTTCCCAATGTTTGATTATAGTTGAAAGTGTACAGAAGACTCAATCATAAAAAACAAAACTCACTGAATTTGTTTCAAAAAGAGTATTGAAGTAACTTTATGGGAGAGAAGATGTTGCTGTACAATAAAAGCTGTCCAGCTTTTATTGAGGCTCTGAAGAT